TCCATTTCCTGTTGTTCTGCATTTACATTTTAATACATAAATGTGGACACATAATCCTCTCATGTTAAAAAAGTCTGCTTTAAGACATTTTTCATTTTTAATGTTGGGCGCTGCTGTTGTCAATGCATAATGATTGCATCTATATGGAGAAAATCAATTGACATTTTGAAAGATTAAGGCACGTCTTTTTTTCATCTCAGCTCCATCATGGTGGCAGATTGATGAGCTCTATAAGATTATGTTCCTTAAAGCTGATATGTTGTTGTTTTATTCCAAATTTTGTGTTGTTGGTGGTGGTGTTTGGAGGTCTTCTGAAATGAGGAGATAAAGTATCCTCTTTTGTGTTGTTGTTTTTAGCTTGTAAAACCATGATCCAGATCTATTTAATGTTTTAATTTGAATTATTTTTGGTAACACTATAGTTTGGGTACCAGTTCCCATTCAGTCAGTCACGTTCAACGTTACGTCAGTGACTGACGAATTGGGATCTCGCCCGAGAGCCCAATCACCTTCGAGTTTTAACTAAACAAGCCAATGACAGTTGGCGTGCGTGCTTCGCCACGCGCACCCCGCCCCGCAGCGCGGGTATAAAAGGAGAGCGCGTGCAAACGCACATCAGCTTTTCGCTTCGGAGCCGAGCCTTCTACAGGACGAATCTCCGCGAGTGTTCGAGAAACAGCTGGCGTTGGTGTGACGGCGTATCAGCGGGGGTTGCCATCCAGGCTGCTGAAACCTCGGCGGGCTGCAGCTTTCATTCTGCGGTCTCGCCGCGACCTCCCCTGGGCTATTAACTAGTTGCTCATTAGCATGCATATTGCTACTTTATTGGCTGTTTATTAGTACTTATAAAGCACATATTAATTAAGGCACACATCCCTTAATCTGACCCAATACCTAAACTTTACAACTAACCTTACTAACTATTAATAAGCAGCAAATTAGGAGTTTATTGAAGCAAAAGTCACAGTTAATAGTTAATAGTGAGAATTGGTCCCCAAACTAAAGTGTGACCTAATGTTTTTTGCACATTTATGACTTCAGCCAAGAAGTATTAAAGTCTCATCAAGTGTTTATGCATTAGTAGACATGTTTTGTCTTAACAATATGTACAGTAATGAATTTAATATATTTTTATTACCACAAACTCTTGCTTGGTCCCTGTAGTGAATTATTAGTAGCTTGATCATTAGTCATCAGATAATGAGTCAATACTGCAAGTGTAATTATGGTGACTGGAGGTGCAGCTTTAATTTATGTTTTACTTAATTTTTTTATTTAATCAACAAGTTTATTTTGTATCATATGTGACCAATAGTGTTTCTATTTCATGTATTAGTTTATTCTTAAACAGACTGAAGTCATTAGAGTTGACGTGAAACCAAAATGAACTCTGTTTATTTTCCTAAAGGGATATTCATTGCAAATACCAATGTACTGCAAAAAAACATTTTCTTAGTATTGTTGTCCCATTTTTATTACAAATATCTAAACATATCAAGATACATGTTCTTGAGAAGCAAAATGACATAAGGTATTAAGTTTTGTTTTGTGGCACAATATATCAAAATTAAGTAATTTTTTTGTTTACTGTCAAAGACATTTTTTTCTTGTTTTAAGCAAAAAATAACACATTTTTATAAATTTTTCAGAAAACAAGACTTAAGTCCAGATTTACTAAACAGGGCAAATTAGCGTTAGAGCGCAATTCCATAAAAGCGCAAAAAACTGACAATGCGCACATTAAAGAACACAGCCAGATCATTTCCATAATGGCCAGCGCAAATTTCCACCTGCTTTAAGACATGCTTTTTTGGGGTGTTAAATAATGGCGCAAATGTCAGTAATTTAGTAAATGCGTGATTCATTTTAATACTCTCCTCCCATATATTTTGCGTCTGAAAGGGAAACTCCTACAAATGCATATTCAATAATGCCAGGCACAAAAATAACTGTGTCCATGCCTTTTCAGTGCTAATTCCTCACTGCGCGTTTTTAGTAGGCTAATTCCTGACAGTACTATTTTAATGGCAAAAGACACAAACTGTTAGTAAAACTGGCCCAAAATATCTTAAGTCATTTTGTTTCTCAAGTAAATGTGTCTTGATTTAAGAATGTTTAGATATTTGTAAGCCTATTAGGGGAAAAAAACTTTTTTGCAGTGCAGGTTCAAGTTAAATTCAGTTGACAGCACTAATTTCTATGGAAGCCCGTTTCCGCCACTGAATAAAAAATAAAAGAGGTAATTGCGACTTTTTATCTCACAATTCTGACTTTATTTCTCAGAATTCTGACTTTATATATCGCAATTGCGAGTTTATAGCTCGCAATTGTGACTTTATTTCTCAGAATTCTGACTTTATAACTCACAATTCTGACTTTAAATCTCGCAATTCTGACTTTATAGCTCGCAATTGTGACTTTATTTCTTCTGACTTTGCAATTCTGACTTTAAAGCTCGCAATTGCGAGTTTATATCTCACAATTTTTTTTTTCATTCAGTGGCGGAAACGGGCTTCCATAAATTTCAGTTAACGCAACAATTAATTTGACTTCTTTTTTTTCTTAAAAACACACACGTTCAGTGGAAGTGAATGTAAACATTAAAGTACTCAGTGTTTTAATAGTATAGCTACAAGACACACAAATGTGTGAACATGATTTTGGTGTGAAAAAATAACACTTAAAACCCAAAACCTATTTCACAGCTATAATAATACAAGTTTGAATTATTTCAAATTAATCCACATTGTGAGGATAAAAATTTGTCTTAGTAATCTATAATGTAAGTCAATGTAATGCTGTTTTACAATAATATAAAATAACTGCAGAGATTTATTTTATATGTCAAATTGCACGACTGCTAGTTTAGTAGCCTTGCTCCTTTTGGTTAGTTACTCTCCAGCAAAGGATGTCTCATAAGACAGCAAAGATTTCATTACTATCAAGCTCTTTTCATTGTCTCTGTGTGCAGCAGTGATCATTTTGGCTTTTCAGATTTTTGTGTTTGTTGCACAACACAGTATGCAGCTTTCCAAATCCTCTAAACAATGAAGAATTGCTTATTTAAAATAATGAATTCAGATCTAGGGACCTTGACAGGTTAATTGCTCTTCCATCAATGGATGCAATGATGGAGGAGCAAATTGAGAATAGAAATGGAGGAATCAATATCTGGACATAATAACAGAATTGCAATGAGTATTGAATGGAAGAGGATTTCCTTTTGTCTTATTTAAATTAGCTTCCCAAAGTACTTTTACCAGGGACTCATTCAAACTGAAATAGCTCTATGAATGTCAGTGACAAAGCACTTCTGAATTAGTGTCTGATACTTCAGAAGAAGCCTACAGCTTTTAGTGATTCTGAACATCTGCTTAATTTCATTGGTAGCCAGCTCAAAGGACTAGGATGTCTGGGATACAAGTGTCTATGGTTGCAAGTTCCACTTTTATAAATATAGTTCAATGATTTAGTGTTTCCTGAATCCACAGCGCCAACAAACATTTGCAAACAGCATCACAAATTTGTGTGGTTGGAACTACAGCTCTCAACTTGTGGTTAGAAGCATAGTTTCCTGTTAGCATGACATGTGGACAAATAGATAGCAGTATAAAAGACATTCTCTGTCTTTTAATGTGTTAAGAGAAAGCACTGTTTTTGAAGAGTGCAGATGTGCATATGCTCTAGTACTGGGGGGAATGCCTGAGTGAAACCTTCAAAATAACATAGAACAAAATGTTGTTTTGTTGAGATTGAGGAAAAAAGCTTAATAATAGTGATGATGATACATGGCCTCTTAGTGCTTCCGAGCATTGCAGATAAATTACCCAACAAAAAGTTATTACTTGTCTTTGCTTTTCTTGTCATGATTAGGACCCCAGTTCCTGTAGTAATATGGAGGTCAACACAGAGCAAACATCTGTGTCATAGTCTTACGTAACTCTCACAGCTGAGCAAAAGGTTGTTCAAGGTGGCAAAAAATCAGTTATTTTCTATAAATCAGAGATCTTTGTTGAGTTGCTGAGGATAGTGTAATCACTGTGATGATAGGTTCAGTGATGGCACCATATCGAGTCATATCAAAGCATGTGGCTTGTTTTTAAGCTATCGGGAGATACATAATATATTGTGCCTTTTTTGGGTCTACTTCACATGTAATGTTCCCCAAAACCTGAAAGACTGAGCCCTAGTTAAGCCCATCAGAGTGAAGAATCAAGCTGTTCTGTGAGGTTTCTGAAGTTGAAGATGTCATTAAGATGTAACAGGATACTGATGTAAACTAACAAACAATAAATAAATACATAGCAGAAAAAAAGAATGCAAAAAGATTATTTTAACCTTTAAACATTAAATATTTCAACAATTATTTGCATTGCTTTTTGGTTGTATTTCTTTCTTTTTTTATTATTTTACTAAAAGTCCGACTGACTTCTGAATGTTTGTGTTCATAAATATATTTCAGCAACCACTTTGCAATATTTTTTGTGTTAGTTATTAACTGTAGATATTGGACAATTAAGATAATTGACCTGTTTTGGAGATGTGTTATTATTATAGCTCTGGTCTTTGAATTTGTTCAATGATGTGATTTAAAAAAAAATTTTTTTTATGTATTTTAGATTTAAATTATTTTATTTGATTTGATATTTTAGCATCTCTGCATTCAATTGATTTATTAATTGTTTTACATATTCTTTAAAAAAAAAATTCTCTCCTCAGTTTGATGTCTGGTTTGGCAGCACTGGATGCTAAGTGCTCCAGTCGACTGGGCATTTAACTGTAGATATTGGACAATTAAGATAATTGACCTGTTTTGGAGATGTGTTATTATTATAGCTCTGGTCTTTGAATTTGTTCAATGATGTGATTTAAAAAAAAAAATTTTTTTTATGTATTTTAGATTTAAATTATTTTATTTGATTTGATATTTTAGCATCTCTGCATTCAATTGATTTATTAATTGTTTTACATATTCTTTAAAAAAAAAATTCTCTCCTCAGTTTGATGTCTGGTTTGGCAGCACTGGATGCTAAGTGCTCCAGTCGACTGGGCATCATGACAATCTCTTATTATCTGTGGACGACTTTTGTGGCTGTGGTGGTGGGCATTGTCATGGTCATCATCATCCACCCGGGTGGAGCTGCCCAGAAGGAGGATTCGGAGGACAGCGGGAAGCCCATCATGAGCTCAGCTGATGCTCTGCTGGACCTTATCCGGTAAGCATGTGCTATTGTGTATCCATGATCAGTCTGTTTGCTGCCTATGCTAGGATAGTTATTGCGTAGGTTTCAGTTAACTGTGCAGAGAAAAACACTGTTACTTCCCTCATGTTTTCAGTGATAGATTATAAAGTGTTCCAGACATCTCACATGCTGAGGCTTTGAGCTGTCTGTTAAACCTTGTGAGTAAAGCTCATGATAAGCCAGTTAGTGTTTGCTTGAGAAAATGAGGCCGGAGTTTACCCCAGTTACACTGTGTCACTGTTCCAGCCGGTCAGTGGAACAGTTAGTCAAGAACTTGTCACAAACAGTTACTTGAATGTAGTAAATTCATATGGAGTCAGGAGGAGAAAGACAGCCCCAGATCTTGACATTTATTTCACTTTACTTATCTTTGTTGTGCTTAAAGGCAATTCTTTATGTAGGCAGCAGTATGCAGTAGTCAACATTTGAAGTGGATCAAAAAAGTTCATCAAATTGTCTTAAGACAAGAACGCATTTTGGTTTTAGGTTTTAGGACAACTTTGATGAAAGGTTTTGACCCACTTCAAATGTTGACTACTGTATATACTCACACAATGCTTGACTGTTGGAAATTGTTAGTTAGTTGTTTGTTTAGCAAGGGGAAATGCAGCCTAGATCTTGACATTCCTATCAACATGATTCATTGTTAGTTAGTTAGTCAGTTTATATGGAGTACTCAGGTGGGAAAGAGAGCCCCAAATCTTGACAATCATTCTACCGTGCTTGACTATTAGTTAGTTAGTTGTTTTTAGTTTGTATTAAGTCCTCAGGTGGGGAAAGACAACCCCAGATCTTGACATTCATTCCACAATGCTTGACTGCTGTTAGTTAGTTAGTTGGTTGGTTGGTTGGTTGGTTAGTTCATAGAGTCCTCAATTGGAAAAGACAGCTCCAAATCTTAACATTCATTCCACAATGCTTAACTGTTGTTAGTTAGTTGGTTGGTTTGGTTAGTTAGTTAGTTCATAGAGTCCTCAATTGGAAAAGACAGCTCCAAATCTTAACATTCATTCCACAATGCTTAACTGTTGTTAGTTAGTTGGTTGGTTTGGTTAGTTAGTTAGTTCATAGAGTCCTCAATTGGAAAAGACAGCTCCAAATCTTAACATTCATTCCACAATGCTTAACTGTTGTTAGTTAGTTGGTTGGTTTGGTTAGTTAGTTAGTTCATAGAGTCCTCAATTGGAAAAGACAGCTCCAAATCTTAACATTCATTCCACAATGCTTAACTGTTGTTAGTTAGTTGGTTGGTTTGGTTAGTTAGTTAGTTCATAGAGTCCTCAATTGGAAAAGACAGCTCCAAATCTTAACATTCATTCCACAATGCTTGACTGTTGTTAGTTAGTTAGTTAGTTAGTTAGTTAGTTAGTTAGTTAGTTGGTTGGTTGGTTAGTTAGTTAGTTAGTTCATATAGTCCTCAATTGGAAAAGACCGCTCCAAATCTTAACATTCATTCCACAATGCTTGACTGTTGTTAGTTAGTTAGTTAGTTAGTTGGTTGGTTGGTTAGTTAGTTAGTTAGTTCATAGAGTCCTCAATTGGAAAAGACAGCTGCAAATCTTAACATTCATTCCACAATGCTTGGCTGTTGTTAGTTAGTTAGTTTTTGTTCATATTAAGTCCTCAGTTAGTTAGTTAGTTAGTTCATAGAGTCCTCAATTGGAAAAGACCGCTCCAAATCTTAACATTCATTCCACACTGCTTTACTGTTGTTAGTTAATTAGTTAGTTAGTTAGTTTTTGTTTATATTAAGTCCTCAGTTAGTTAGTTAGTTCATATGAAGTCCTCATAAAGACAGCTCCAGATTTTGACATTCATTTCACAATGCTTGACCTTTGGAAATTGTTAGTTGGTTGGTTTAGCAAGAGAAATGCAGCCCATAATTCAACATAATTTATTGTTAGTTAGTTAGTTAGTTTTAGTTCATATACCTTAAGTGGGAAAGACAGCCCTAAATCTTTACATTCATTCCACAATGCTTTATTGTTGTTAGTTAGTCAGTCAGTCAGTTAGTTATTTAGTTAGGTTTTGTTCATATTAAGTCCTTAGGTGGGGAAAAACAACCCCAGATCTTGACATTCATTCCACAATGCTTGACTGCTGAAAATTGTTAGTTAGTTCAGGATATGTATTGAGTATAATGTTCTTTAAAAGTGAGCCACACGTTTTATATGCAAGGATGCTTGTGTTGTGTATATTGATCATGAGCATTATTATTGCTATCTACTTAAAAAAACGATTGTCATTTCTCAGAAATATAAACATAAATCCCATTCTACACAAAGGCAAAGATGCATTGCACCATCACCTGCTGTTAATTGCCAGGCATAATGATTTTATTTCATTGTGAATATCTGGATTCTGTGTTAAAGTATAGTGTCTGTGATGTTGAGGGATCAGGAGAGCTTAGACATGGCTCAGTTTAGGGTTGGCTGAGGACTAAGGTATGGGGAATTCCTGCCCCACCTGTCTCCTGTACTGCGTGACAGAGCATGGCCCGTTTCATTGGAGTGTATGGTGAAGACTGGAGCATAAACTGATTACTCATCTGAGCCTGAGACCATATGGCCCTCACTGAGGTGTTGAAAGAGGAGGAGACTATTCATACAGCCACAAGATTACCTCAATTTGTTAACAGTGCATTTCATGATGAAAGTCTTAGACAGTTAAAATTAGAAAGGTACCAAATTAGCATGTGATATTTGTGATCTCCACTGAGAGGTTATTGGGATTGGCGTTTCTGGGGCTGTCTGTGCTAACCAGACGCAAGGCACTTGGATTAGGATTAGTTGACTGTGTCACAATGTGGACACTTCTGCAATGCACTTATTGTGTTTTGCTGGTGATGGGAAAGAACATATGCCAACATAAAATTGCATTTTGAAATCACAGACCCCTTTGTGGTATATGCTCCTATGTGTACTCGTTTGAATTCACCTTAAATGCTGTTATTATCTTTTAACTTTTAGGTTCATACATTTTAAACTTCAGTTAGAGTTGGACTTCGTCCAACTGAAAAGTTTCTTGTCATATATTCCTCTTCTTCTGTTGTGCAAGGGGTGCTTTTACAGATGCAATAAATACCATGCTTGGTCAACAGCAAATGTTGTGATTTGGATGTTGACCCCATTTAATTAGCTCAGTCAACAAAACTTCCTGTTTATCCAGCCTCACCAGCTTAGTTTTGCTGGTCTACCAGACTGACCAGCACCAAATTTGTGGATAATCAGAACAAACCAGTTTAGTATTTTCAGCAGAATGCCACTGATTCTGTGTAATAAACATTAATCTTCGTTATAATATTCATTAAAAAAAAAAACTCTCTTTTCTCTATCAGCAACATGTTCCCAGCCAACTTGGTCCAAGCTACTTTTCAGCAAGTGAGTTTTTACGTTTTTCTATTAGTTTCATGCCCTGTGCCTTCAACGCTATTGTGCAGCTCTTTTCTTCTATTTAAATTATTTGTAGTCATCTGCTGCTCACTTTAAGTTAACTTTTAAAAACAATATATATATAAAAAGCACGGTTAGTTTTTGTGATATTATCATGATCACAATAATGATAATATTTAACAGTGTTTTTGGTAACACTTTATTTTAAGGTGTCCTTGTTACACGTTACATGTACTTACTATTATAATAACAATAAATTATGCATAATTACATGCAAGTAACCCTAATCCTAACCCTAACTATATAGTAAGTACATGTAGTTAATTAAGATTACATTATTAATTAAATGTATAATTACACTGCAACAAGGACACCTTAAAATAAAGTGTTACCAAAAACAGTTAAATATTATCATTATTGTTCTTAAAATAAATATCTATTTTTCATACTGCACATTATAATATTGTGATGCCTAAATTTACTTTTGAACTGATTGATTTTAGCTTTTAGTGTTTCATTTAATTTATTTAGACAGAGTAATGAAGGGCTGTAATGTGAACTGGTTATCAATTATTGGCTAAAACATGGAAATAATTATCAGCTCGGTCAGAATTGCATGCATAATGTTCAAAATTAACCTTGCATGTGTACAGTTCCTTTGATATTGTCGCTTTGCATTACTGTACTTTTTGCTGTGAATTTGTTTTATATATGCCATGTTAATGATGAATTGTAATGGAATTGTAGTATCGCACAAGGAGCATCCCTATCATGAAGCCCAAACCAGCCATTGGTCAGGACGTACTAGACGCCACCACCAGACGGGTCTTCATTTATGGGATCCAGGATGACAACGGCACAGATATCCAGAACTTCTCCCTGGACCTGACGCCACCTCCGGATGTGGTCTTCAGGACGCTTCCTGGCACCAGTGAAGGCATGAACGTCCTCGGCATCGTGATCTTCTCAGCTACTATGGGTGAGTGCATGCAGCAACATCTGGAATTCCACAGCTTTATCCAGTCTGTTTTATAAATACTCAGTTATTCTTGTCGTTTAGGAATCATGCTTGGAAGAATGGGACCAAATGGCAGCGCTCTCGTCAACTTCTGCCAGAGTCTCAATGAAGCCGTGCTGAAAATTGTGGCCATTGTTATATGGTATATACAACTAATACAAGCATCATGTAACTCAAACCCCAAATTATTGTATGTCTTACTACGACAATAAACCAAATCACTAGAGCCATTACACAGAGTTATGTTGGGGTCATTCTCACCAAACTATGGAAGCCTGTTTCCACAACTGAATAAAAAAAAAAAAAAAAAAAGGTAATTGCGACTTTGTATCTCATAATTTCCTCAGAACTGTGAGATATAAATACGCAATTGCCGATTATTATTATTATTATTATTATCATTATTTGCTTAACCACTTTAAAATGGCTTTTTGGTTGCTTTTAGTCAGAAAACGTAAAGAAAACGACACACATACAGCAAGATAATATAATTTCATTTACCTGGCCTATCACTTGAAGCAAACATCCATCCCTTCTTAACAGTCTGTGTTAAAAGAGCCGACTGCTGTTCTCCCTTTATTTTTAATTTGTATATTTACTGTTTGAATGACAGCTTGGTAAATCTGTTGGCGATCAAATATTCAATATCGCTACTCATCATAAGTACTTGGTACATTATCAGCGCAGCGGCAGACGTTCAAACTAATATCACGTAATTTACATCTATATGATGATTGGTTGATATACCAGAAGGGAGGCTAGCCTCCTCTACGAGGTGTCTTTTCTCAACACTCCTCAGTGCTGAAAGTGAACACTCGATGCTGATGGGCTATTTTTTTTTTACCAACGGAGGCACGAGAGCTCAGCTCTCCCCCGGCCTGCCCCTCCCCTTCTCTATCACCTAGCGGTTGTAGTTACATCAGCAGATACGCGATAGAAAAGCGGCGCTTTCCAACTTCAGTAACATGTTATGGTATTACAGCTGTGAAATTACAAACAAAAAATACATGTTCTGAGATATGAACTGTGAATGAATTGTGAATTCTATTAACATTAAATTGTCCTCCCATTTTCACCTCAAAACTTTGGGGAAGCTGTGCCTCCCCTGCCTCCCCACGACGAGCCGCCACTGATAGAAACAGTCAGCGTTCTGAGACGTGCGCTTAGGACTGCGCATGCACACTGGCTGATCTAGCCTGAAAAATACGCTTTTTATAACGCTATTTGAGCAAAAGAAACAACATTTATGACACAGTTGTTGTCAGATTTCATTGGCGATTTCAAATATAAAATGTAATCGTAAGCTCAGTGAACAGTTTTGGAGAATTCGATGTTTCCCCATTCAAAGTGATAGAAGCTGCACTTGCATGCCCGAGAGGTGTTTCAAAGATGGCCGCCGAGTGACATGACTTGCCTTAAAGAGACTCTTTTCTCAGAATTGCTGAGATATTTTCTCTCAATTGTGAGTTTATACCTTGCAATTCTGACTTTATCTCTCAGAATTCTGAGTTTATATGCAATTCACAATTACCCTTTTTATATGCTGCGCAGTTTGAGCCTTAAAAAATTCAGCACTGCACCAGTATTTGCACCAACATACCCTGTGCAACTGTTCAGTGAATTCCCCCTGAATGGCATCTATTTCTGATGTAACACCTCAGGTACTTCCCATTTGGGATTGTGTTTCTGGTGGCGGGAAAGATCTTGGAAATGGACGACCCCTCAGCTATGGGGAAGAAACTGGGCTTCTATGCCATCACTGTGGTCATGGGGCTGGTGCTTCACGGCCTGTTCATCCTGCCTTCCATGTATTTCTTCATTACGAAAAAGAGCCCCATCGTCTACATCCGAGGGATTTTACAGGCCCTGCTCATCTCATTAGCTACTTCATCCAGGTAACCGCACCTTCATGCAATTCATAGTTTGAGCTAAGCCCTGCTAGATGATAACGGAACACTTACCGACTTTGTAAATGTTTACCAAGAAAAACTGCCCATCATCACTATACAGCTGAGGATCACACACTACCAGACATTCAAATTGTTCCAAACACACCAAACTCATGCAGAAACAGGCATCTCATTGCTAGAAGACACATAACAAATGAAAACAAAAAGTTGTGTATTCCAGCCTTGAATTAAATGTAGCCCAAATGTAAATGACAAACTCTTGTGTTGTACTCCAGCTCTGCCACGCTGCCTATCACCTTTAAGTGCCTCCTGGAGAACAACCACATTGACCGCCGCATCATTCGCTTCGTACTTCCTGTTGGTGCCACTATCAACATGGACGGCACTGCCCTATATGAGGCCGTGGCAGCCATTTTTATCGCTCAAGTCAACAACTACGAGCTGGACTTTGGACAGATCATCACCATCAGGTAGGGTAAGAATTTGTAAGATGCCCCTTTTGACCATAGATATTGTCTGGTCAGATTTATGCTCTAATTAATCTTGAATATTCATCTGAATATGAACATTTGTGATTGTTCCATCCGAACAATTTTAATTTAGGTTACATTTTCTTTTTTTTCTTCTTCTTTTTTTTTCAGTGGATAATAATAATATTATTTTTTGTAATACTACTACTACTACTACTACTACTACTAATAATAATAGCAATAATAATAATAATAATAATTATCATTATTATATGTTAATGTTGTTTAGTAACTCCATCAATGACATGCACATTTTAAACATCATTGTTAGTTCCTTTGTTGCGACCCACCAACTGGTGGAATTCGCTTAATTTATTAATATATTAATTTTTTATATTTATTTATTCATATATTCATTTATGATGATATCACATAATTTATTAATATATTAAATATGGATAAATTCAGTGATATACATATATAAAATATACATATAATTATAATTCAGATGTATCTTTTTGACTGGATTCTGTTATTTACCTTTCATTATTTAAGAAATTTGTCAAAAACATACATTAAGTATTTAACATTAGTGCCAAATCATAATGATTAATTTTTTTTTTAAATATATATATATATACATATATATCTTACGAAAAGATATCAGTAAGTTCTTTCTCATTCTGTATTTTGTGAATCTTTTTTTTTTTACTTTTTACTTTAGCATCACAGCTACAGCAGCCAGTATCGGAGCTGCTGGCATTCCACAAGCTGGCCTGGTAACCATGGTGATAGTGTTAACCTCAGTGGGACTTCCTACAGATGACATCACTCTTATTATCGCTGTGGATTGGGCCCTGTAAGTCTCTCTCTTATTCATTCATTCATTTCCATTGTAAATGTAGATTTGTGATGTAGAGATGTAGACCAGCCAAACTGCTACTCAAAACTAGCCCAGTCACCTTCTGGGGCAAATTGGCTATCAAAAATCATTCCAAAATCATGTTTAGGTGAGTCAAAACCTCCTTTTGGGGGTTCCTACCTCAGTTGAAATCACATTCCAGGGGGGGAGACCTGCAGCCACAGTATAAATGTAGTCCAATTCCATATTGGTATTTGGCAACACTTGATGTTGGTTAAGATTTATGATTGAGCTTTATCAATAACTTTTTAAATATGAGGTTTACTTGTGTGTCTGTTAGGGATCGGTTCAGGACGATGGTGAACGTGATGGGTGATGCTCTGGCCACAGGAATCATGGCACACATATGCAGAAAAGACTTCGTGAAGGAGGGCGAGGAGGTGGGAATGAGCTTGTAGAGGTTGTTTGAAATAATAACACGTTGCATGTGGACTCGAACGTCCATTGCACTATAGATTTCACCTCTTCTCTTCACAGATTCCTCTCATCTGTGAGACCAAGCCCATGATCAGCATCCAGCAGATGATGTCCTATCAGAAAAACGGCAGCTTCCAGCCCCCTCCGCCGGGCCCCATGAGGAAACCTGAGCACCTGTCTCCTGACGTGGCCCGTCTCATGCAGCTGGAGGAGGGCATCAGGCCCCCCGACAAGAACAAGTCCCCTCACCTGTCTCCACACCATTACAAACGAGACCATAAAGACAAAGACCACTGTACCATAGACATGAACGGTCTGGAAACCAATGTCTAGACTCCTTCACAGACCAGAACTGAGCTGCAAGATGCCAGCCGTTCTCCTTCTCTACCTTTGGATTTGTGTGTGAATGTCTTTTAGGGAATTTCACGACGGGAAGCTGAAGCGATCGGGGGCCGTGAATCTTTGGACCTGCTGAGGGGATTCGCTGAACGCTGTTAACCCCGGAGGCTGAGCTCCTGGCCGAAGTGTGTGGAGTAAGATCGGTGTACATATGAGTGCTACTATCATTGTCCTTTCTCTGTGATCCACAGGAGAGAAGAACAACACTCTTCATGGACAGCTTGTCTGAGGAATGTGGATATGTGTTGTTTTTTTATGCTGCTGAGATCTTTTTTTCATCTTCAGAAAGGTTCTTTTCAAAGCTTTCTCTGTTTAATTCTGCTCTTTCAGTAAAAGAGGGAGGAAAAAACTGTCCCCTGAAGAAGATTTAACCACCAGTGATCACATTCAGTGGCCCCAAGAAGTTTTTGGACACTTGGGCCCGGTTTCATAGACAGGGCTTAGCCTAAGCCAGGATTAGACCATAGTTCAATTAGGACATTTAAGTCATTTTTATAAACATGCCTTAGAAAAAAGTATTACTGGTGTGCATCTTAAGACAAAACAAAGTTTATTTCAGTTGAAACAGCTCAGATTTACATTTTAGTCTTGGACTTGTCTGTGAAACTAGGGGTTGTAGAATTAAAAGTGTCCAAATATCAGTGCATTATATCAGGGGTTTAGGCCTCTACCTCCACCCAGAGCTGTAGATAACCCTGAAACGTAAAGATTGCTACAGCTTAGGGCTTAACATAATAAATAAATAAATATATATATATATACATATATATATATAGAGAGAGAGAGAGACAGACAGACAGACAGACAGAGACTTAAAATGCAAAAACCTACAAGTCTGATTTTGAGTCTGAGATTTTTCTTTTAAAGGGGTCATATGATGTTGCTAAAAAGAACATTATTTTGTGTATTTGGTGATGAAATGTCTTTATGCGGTTTAAGGTTCAAAAAACACATTATTTTCCACATACTGTACATTATTGTTTCTCCTCTATGCCCCGCCTTTCTGAAACGCATCGATTTTTACAAAGCTCATCGTTCTGAAGAGCAAGGTGTGCTCTGATTGGCCAGTTATCCAGTGCGTTGTGATTGGCCGGATACCTCAAGCGTGTGACGGAAATGTTATGCCCCTCACCATATCGTGATGCCCTGTCCGGCCGGAGTGACGAGACAAAAACATTAAAAGCCATTATAAACGATGCATTCGTTGCATCCAGTGGGGACATAATTACGGATTATATTGACTTATACTGTCTTTTTACGTGCTGTGTTGCATCGCGCCACGTAAACATAAAACCATGTCTGCATTTGTGATCGGAGAA